TGCTGGTATAAATTACGAGGTTTCGCTCATGGACGTTATGCAGACATTGACCTGACCGGAGTGGTGAAGAATATTGATAAACAGCAGTTTGGTCGGTTACATAGTTACCCTTTCTTGCTTCGAAATCTTGACTCAAAAGAACTGATTGCTCAGAGCATGCGCAACCGGAAATTGTAAACACTGTCTCTTACACACCTACAGCGTCTTCACAGAAGATTATTATTCGTTTTTTCCTTTTTTTTCTTTCTTTTATATCCCATGAGTTCTTTTCGTTTTTGTTTTTCCGATGGTAAAGAATAAAAAAATAAATTGTTTACAACGCAAACACTAAAATAGGAGTACTACAAGAACCTCACATTTTTTTTATTTTTTACAGTGAGGTTCATCCTGTACAAAGCGCGGAAAAGAGTTGAGGTAGAGGGTTACAGAGAAAGAGACACAGTTTATGCGGATATGTGGGAAAGATAACGGTTAACTCTAGATTTGGACAAGTTAAGATTGTAGTGATCGAGAAAATATCCTCTTGGGAGTCGGTTATACAGAGCAGTGGTCCGCGTGAAGAAGTTGATTGAGTGGAAGTTAATTCTTACCAATGTAATACAAGGGGAATAAGGGTGGTTCGATATAATGTGTATAGGACTGGTGAGACTATGGAATGTAGTTCGTCTGAGTATTTTCCATGGAAATAGCAACAGAGAAGTGAGAGGCTTGTGACTCTCTGGAGGACAAGGTGGAGGCTGTAAAATAATTTGTCGCCCACAAGAACGCAGAGAAGGTTTTAAACTGGAAAGTTAAGACTGGACAGCTCCTGCCTAAATATGACAGCAGTACTCCATTTTCTTGTAATGTTAGAGGGTAGCAAGAGGAACCAACTACTTACTGAAGCGGTACAGGGAACAGAAGAGTTTTCTAAATTCTTTACCTATATTAGATATATATGAGTTCCAATTGAAATCTGAGTTTTAAGGCCCAATAATCGCTTAAGGCATGGAGCTTCCCCGAAGGAACATTAATTCATATACACATGCATACAAACATCAATATATACAGGGTGTCCATAAAGTTCGTGTGCGCTTTAAAAACTTTATAACTTTATTTGTATTTGCGATAGAAATAATCTGTAAAAAAAATGTTATAATGCAGTGTTTCAACAAGATTGAGCTCCTTGTCACTTTGCTCAGCGTGTTAGAGAGTTTCTAAATCAGGAATTTCCTAACAGATGGATCGGAAGGTGTGGACATTTTTATTGGCCTCCACGTTCGCCAGATTTGACTCCATTAGATTTTTTACGGGGACATGTGAAAATAATTGTGTATGCAACCAAACCTAGTTCATTAGAAGATTTGAAAGCTAAAATAACTAATGTGATTTCAGGTATTACTGTAAATCATTTGGCAAATGTTTTCCGTGAACTGCAAAATCATATTACCATTTGTATTGCTAATGATGGAGGACATGTGAAAACTTAAATAAAATTTCAATAAAACCTTAAAAATATAGATTTATTTTTCTAATCTAAAATTATTTTTTGGACAAATTATTTATATAGACATATATATATATATATATATATATATATATATATATATATATATATATATATATTCTGTTTAGACGTTATTTTTATAGATATATATATATATATATATATATATATATATATATATATATATAGTAAATGTAAAAAATCAGTTGATATATAATCCAAGTGGATACCAGTAATATAGAATATTAAAACTGATCCACAAAAAGAGCTCAGTGTATTTATTATTACAGAGCAAATAATTAATAAACAATAAAACACAAAATCACTTCATATGGGGAATATTCTATTTCAGCAGACAAAGATATCGCTTATCAACTCCGGTGTGGACTGAGTTCATTTCAGTAACAGAAATTTAACTGTGAAAGCTAAAAACAAAAACAGTCGAAAATTTAATACAAAAGGCACGATTCAAGGGTCAGTGAAGAGTGAAAGTTATTTGTCTTAAAGTGGAGAAGTTTTATAAAATTAAACCCCAATATTAACCTTATGATATCAATTTAGGGTTATATGAGAAATAAAATATTAATTTAAAATTAAAAGAGGAATAAAAGGGATTTCAAAATAACTTTAAAATATATAGATAAAAGGATGTAAAGGATTAATGGAAAGAGAATTGGGGAGATTTTAGAGGAGGGGAAAGTTTATAAATTATAATTAATATAGATAAAGAGGTTATAGATGGGGGATATAGAAATTAGAATTAGTTATACTTTCGACATTTGAAGAGTTAGAAGAAAGTGAATATTATGGAAATATTGTAGCTAATTAAGTTAAACGTATATTATGGAAATTTGAATTTATTTTATGTCGACATTTTAACAACAATTCATTCCTCTGATTTAATAGTTGGCTTTGATTATTATATTTTATTATTCTAATTTTCTTCTTCTAAACATAAGTCATACCTATCTCTAAGACTATTAGGAGAACGTGCGGAATTTATAATCTTCCAAATTATCTTTGGGCTCAAACCTTTCAATTCCCAAAATTTCTTTGAAAGATCTGTCTGGTGTTAAAGAATTTTTGAAATTGAAGGAGAAAGGTTTGAGCCCACTGATAATTTGGAATACTATAGGTTCCGCACGTATGTTATTCCCCATATGAAGTGATTTTGGATTTTATTGTTTATATATATATATATATATATATATATATATATATATATATATATATATATATATATATATATATATATGTATATATATAGTGACAAATTGGAAAAAGGTTTTTGCAACGCGTTTCATCCGTTTGAATTTCATCGGTCTGGGCTTTGTTGGTGTTGCCACGTTTGAACATGCGCATGAAACAAGAGATGCTGGTAGTTTCAAAATTTTAGAAAGAATATTTTTTATTAGACGTGGCAATATAAAAAAAAACAGTTCGATGAAATCCTAACGTTTGAAACACGTCACATAAACATTTTTACAATTTGCCATAATATTTTTCTAAATACTGTTTGTTGATACATAAAATTGTAGAAAATTATATATCGTTATATCACACACACATATATATATATATATATATATATATATATATATATATATATATATATATATATTATATACTACTCTTTATTAAAATATATATACGAGAAGGGAAACTTTTCAAAGGTTGACTATGAAGGATTGAGGCTAGAGCTGTGAAATCTTGCATGCATTAATTTCACCTCTTCTTATTAATAATTGCCTTGTTTCTTTCCAGGTAAACTCGCATCTGATATCGAATAAGACTATTTGTCTTATTTCTTGTTGAGCAAAAATATCTTCAACAACAGATAAAAGGTCATCATCACTTCGATACTGGTTCCCAGCTAAATGTTTTTTTCATGTTGGGGAACAGATAATACGATATTGGCCTTCGTTGGAGCAGGTGATGAGGGTTTATTTTATTGCCTAGATTTTCTCGTTATCGCTGGCTCAAAGTGATGAAACCAAGACTCATTCTGGGTTTGGAAATGTTCGAAATTTTTTTTCTTTTTAAAATAAAGCGGTAAAGTTGTCATTTTAAAAGTGTCGCCTGAAGATACCGGCAGGTCGAAACCATGGTCGCGTATTTTAATTCACCTCCTGATTTATATATATATATATATATATATATATATATATATATATATATATATATATACTAGGGCTGCTTTATATATATATAAGCACACTAGGGCTGCTTCAAATAATGTCAGATTTTCCTGTGATTTGATTAGCCTGTTGCGCTTTTGATCAAGTGTCAGAAAATATGACATGCAGAATATTCTCAACTCTCTCACGGGATATGCTAATAGCATTGGTTATTGGATTTATAGTCGATCGCCTGGCATACATCACCACGTGGTGAACACGATCAATGTTTTCCTATTCTCTATTCTTCTTCTAAACTTGCACTGTTGATAAAGCTGTAGCGTTATCGTCTAATGTCGCTACTAGTTACTTTTGAAGTGTTCTTTGAACAGTATGGTGTCAGTTTACATGGAACGAGACAATGCAGTTATTAATAAGACGAGTTGAAATTAATGCATGCAAGATTTCATAGCTCTAGCATCACTTTTTCATCGTCAGCATATGAAGATTTCCGCCCAGCATTGTATAGTATATATGATAATAATGTGTATTATGCAGTTCATCTGAGCATTTTCCATGGAAATAACAATAGAGCCGTTAGAGACTTGTTATGTTTCGTCTCTGAAAGACTAGTTTCTCTCACTTTTTTTACAGTGAGATTCATCCTGTACAAAGCCTGAGAGCCAGTCGAGGTAGAGAGTTACAGAGTAAGAGACACAGTTTACGTGGATATGTGGGAAACATAACTGTTAACCCTAGACTTGAACAAGTTAAGATTATAGTGATCGAGAAAATGGAAGTCGGTTCTCCAAAGCAATGTTCCGTGGGAAGAAGCTGCGCGAGTGGAACAATTTTTTACTAATGTAATAAAAACGGAATGAGTGTGGTTCGATGTAATGTGCATAGCTTGTCAGGTCTTAGCCGTGAAGGTTAGGACTTGTGAGGCGATGGAAAGTAGTTCGTCTGAGCATTATCCATGGAAATAGCAAGGGAGCAGTGAGAGGCTTGAAACGTTTCGCCTCACAAGTCCTAACCTTCAAGGCGAAGACAAGTTATAGGGTGTAAAATAATTTGTAACCCACAAAAACTCGGAGTTGGTTTGGCACTGGAAAGTGAAGACCGGGATGCTTCTGCCTAAACATAGAATAAGTAGCTCACACCTCATACTACTCTCTCTCTCTCTCTCTCTCTCTCTCTCTCTATATATATATATATATATATATATATATATATATATATATATATATCAGAAAACCTTTGATATTACGTTCAACCATGAAGCACGCTCTCGCCTGTCGGTGTTCACATGAGTGTGCATTTTTTTATTTCTTACACACGCTCTATTACACTAAAATATAGTGTACCATAAAATTATATTTTATCCTATATAATATATA